TTTTATTTTTAATGAGAGATGCTATGACCGGATTTTCATCAGGAAGAATAAGGTCCTACTGAAACAGGAAAAAAATGAGTTTTAAGAGCTTATCGGCAATAAAATTGTCTTTATATTATAGATTTCTCGCTAGCCCTTTTTTTTGGCACTCTTCAACAACTAACCTGGTATTTCCCCAGCAACATGAACAATAAATCCATCTCAGAAAGGGCTTTGTGCAGTAAAGATCAATTGCCTAAGCCCCAAACTCCTGCAGGAAGATGACATCAAATCTCAGGTCTGGGAAACACCAGCTCGGTCTCCTTGGAGCATCCATCCCTGTGGATTTACTGTCCTGCTCGAGGCAAAGAGGAGAAACATTTGAAGCATCTGCTGTGTTTTGGATGGACCCTTCAGTCCTGCAACAAAACCATCACATCTTGCATGAGATTTACCTGCAGCACCATCAAAAATCCATGGAGAAATAGAAAGCAACAAGAGCAATCTAAACCCCCTCACTTTTAGGCAATTACGGTGGATGAGGGTGACCCCCTGCTGCAGGCAGTGCTGGGATGTTCATGGCTGTGGGGCATTTCCCTCTGCAGAAGCTGCCTGGTCCCACAGTCCTGTCACCTTTCCTCTGCCTCCAGCTGCAAACCTGCTGACTCTTGGCAGCCCTGAGCCAGCCCCATATTCCCAGCTGTGCCCAGCAGTGCCAGGGAGCAGAGCTCTCCTCCAGTCAGGCCAGGCCAGGGACACTCATGGGGGAGCTTGGCTGCGCCAGCACAGGCCCTCAAGTGACTCTTGTGCCACATCTGCCCTTGCTGCCTGCTTGGGATGTCACAGACCTGCAGGGAAAGCTTCCAGCAATGATGCCAGCTCGTGTTCTGTGCCCTGTGGCCAGCAGAGAGGGATTTCAGCACGGTGGGAGCAGGAGTGTGTGGCTGCAGAGGCACAGGCACTTTGCAGCACGAGGAGAGGCTGACAGCAAGCAGGGTTCTCTGGAGTGTGCAAAAACCTGAACAATACAGCTGTGCTGGCTCTGGCTTCTCCTTATCACAACTGCTTTGTCCACAGTGTTGTTTCTGAACCTCCTCCTTGCAAAACACTCATGGTAACACCTCAGCTCCTTCATCTCCAGCCTGGGAATTCCAGGACATTTTCACTGACCTAGAGATGACCCACACCAGCTTCTTCACGAGCTGCATCACTAATGGAGCAGCAGCTCTAGAGGCCAGCTCTGCTCCCCACTGTCTCTCACCCTCTCTGCTGCCACCTCCCACGTCCCTTCGCTGTCCCAGCGGGTCCAGCAGCCACCAGACGACAGGCTGGGGTTGGCAATGAGGAGATTACAGGAGCTTTACCTTCAATGATCCAGACATGAAGGAATTTAATCCCGTGTTTGAAATAAAAAGAGTTTATTTAGCTTCTTCCTCTGAGTCACTGCCGAAACATCTCATCCCCGGCTGCCGTGCCGGAGCTCCATCGCTCACGAGACGCGTCCTCAGGTGCACTTTTGACCTTCCCCTGCATCAAGGGAAATCCCTCAGCCCTGGAGCCCTGCTTGGCCCCTGGGATGATCTTGCTCCTTCCATCCAGGGCTTTCTGTTGTGCTTGAAGATAAATCTGGTGGTTATGATCCTTCTCCTTTTCAAAATGAAGGTCCGAACCTGATCTCAGCAATGCCAAGTATATTTTTTACCAACTCCAAAGGGAGATGATTTGGCCCATGGGGGCAATGTTGGACTTGTTCTTCTGATACCCAACCTCCTGCCACAAAGGGACACACAGGTACCAGGGATGCTGTAAAACACTTTTGCAGGATCTGGGTTCAAGAAACTCATACTTGCAAAAAGCAAAATCCACAAAGAATTTATTGGAAATCCCTTGGTAAAGGCTGGTGTCCTGTCCTGTCCTGTCCTGTGTGGGACATTCACTAAATGGGGAATTCAGCACTGCTAAATCCCACCCAAATGTTTCTTTCACATGAATTTGCATTGTTTGGTTCTGGTTCAGCAAAGCAGCTGAAGATGTGAGTGACCTGAGTGAGCTGGGAGCTGAGCAGCAGCAGAGGGAGCCACCACAGACACGGGGTGCATTCTGAGTGGCACAGGAGGGGGCTGTGATGCACAGTGGGTTTGTGTGGGCACACTCATCTCTCCACCCCATCCTGTCCTCCTGCTCCAGCTGCTTCCCCACCTGAAGATTCCAACTGCTCCTTTGGCCTGGAGGCTTTACAGGGCTGGCAGATGGACCTTGCTAGGAAAGTTTGAGAGGAAAACACGTTTGGGTTGCTTCAAGCTAACAAAATCTTCCAAGTCAGCAAAAGGAAACAGTGTTTGAGGTCTCAGCTCATGTAGATTCCATAGGATTCAAAGTCACAACAGCCAACTGGAACACTTCTCTCCCAGGGGAGGCAGTGGCTGGGGCAGGGGGTGGCTGTGATGCCCAGGAACCCCTGAGCCCAGAGCTGCTCTGCACACAGGCTGTGGGTCTGGAAACACCACAGCAAACGGGACAAAGGCGTCTCTTCAACCTTCTCCTTCCATCAGGAGGGCTGGGCCTGCTCTGTGAAACATTGTCTGGGACAGCTGTGCAGAGCAGGAGGGAGGAGGCTCCAGCAGAGGTGGGGAAGTGCTGCAGTCTCACTATGGAGGGTGCAGAAACAGAGGGGAGCTGCCTGGGAGAGGCCAACGAGGAGCCAAGCACAGCAGTAATTGCCTTTCTCCCTGGCCTTGGCTCATGATCCAGGGCACAGGATGGATTGGATTGTCTGCACACTGGCATACAAGTGCCAATGTCCATGTGCCCTCAGGGACATCCCCATGGAGACCTTGCTGCCTGTGGGTGGAATGCCTGGCTTGGGGCTCCTTTCTCCAAAGGGGAAAAGCAGAGGAGGCCCCAAAGACTCACCTCCTGTGGAGAGAGTGATGGAGAGCCCAAAACTGCAGAGGGAATCCAGAAAGAAGAAATCCAGAAACTGCTGGAAGGCAATGAAGGTGTCCTGGTGTTGTCCCACCTGGATGGACATCCAGAGATGTGCTGCTGCTGCTGCTGCTGCCAGAGTTTGGCTGAGATGTTTCTGGAAGGACACCCAGGGATGGAGCATTCCTGAAGGAGAAGGGCTGAAGTTTGTGTTGGTGTGGACACAAAGACACCTGCACCCCTTGGATCAGTGCTGGTTATTGCATTTTCCAAAACTTCCCCAGAGCTGCTGAATTCTCATCGTGGAGAACACCAAGGCTGTCACCCCACACCTGCACTGGGGGTGAGCAGGAGCCCTGGGAAGCGAATTCCAGGGATTCTCAGGCTCTTCCCTCGCTGTGTCAGCAGGTGTCTGGCACTGAGATACCACCAAGCAGGGCAGGTCACCACACCAGACATGGCCAGGGCCTCTCTTCTCCACTGCTTGTGGGCATGGGGAGAACCCAGGGAAATGGGAACACTGAATTCCTAAAGCAGCTGGAGTGCCTGTGGGCATGGGGAGAACCCAGGGAAATGGGAACACTGAATTCCTAAAGCAGCTGGAGGGCCTGTGGGCATGGGGAGAACCCAGGGAAATGGGAACACTGAATTCCTAAAGCAGCTGGAGGGCCTGTGGGCATGGGGAGAACCCAGGGAAATGGGAACACTGAATTCCTAAAGCAGCTGGAGTGCCTGGATCGGGGTTTGAGGGGTGCCTCAGGTACCAGTTCCTGTCTCACCCATTCTCAAGCAGGGTCTGTGCACACAGGGCCAGGGTGGTGTCTGAGATCAGACCTTGGAGGGGCTGAGCACAGACCCAAGGGGTGACCCCACCTTCCCTTCTCCAAGGCAATGTCCCCACCGGGGCCACAGCCCCTTCCAACCCCTCCAGTGCCCCCCAAGCCACCCCTGGGGAAAGCAGAGCAGGAGCTGGGGCTGCATGGAAGGGTCACCCACAGGATGAGCTCAGCCCACTCATCCCAGCCACACACAGCACGGCAGGAGCTGGTGCAGACCCTTCACAGCAGCACAGCTTTGCCAGAGCCACACGTGGAATTATTCTGGTGCCCAGGCCTCCTCCCCAGGGTGGGTTCCACAGCACAGAGGGTGCACAGGGGGTTATTTGACACCTGAGCAGGTCTGGGAAGTTCAGACACCACGTGGTTATTGGTGCTGGGGCTGCAACACCAGCTTTTTTCCAGACTCCTGCAGCTGGGAACATTTAGGATGTTTGGCTTTCCATAAACATTGAAAATCTATCCAACTTCAAAACTGTTTTTTGCTTGAACTGATGAATTTAGCTTCATTTACTGTGTGCAGAGTGGTTCTGCTTTTAAGATAAAGGCAAAAGCTGCTCAGGCTGGGCACAGCTGACACAGCAACGGGGCTGGTCAGTGTTGGGACACCTCAGCCCAACATTCTGGACATGGGACTCGTCCCAGGACACTTCCCAGGCCAGCACAGACAGCCACATCCAGCCTGAGCTGCCCACTGCCTCCCATCAGTCCCAGGGATATTTAAAAACACGCTGCCCACAGGGCCCTTGGAGCACAACTCCAGTATTTTCACCTCAGACACCATTCCCACCTCCCTCAGCTTTACCAAGACCCCTGGGCAGCCCTGCAGTGCCAGGGAATGAGCAGAGGGCACCTTTAAACACAATTATTGCACCTTCCTTTGCATAGGAAAGGGGGTGTTGTGCCCAACAGGGGGGATTTAATAACTGAGGAATGGAGAAGTACAACTACCAGGTTAAAATACAGCAGCACCTTATTCTGATTTGACTAAGCAGAACTTCACCTCACGTTTAACCATCTCACTGCTGGACATCTCATTTCATTTTTAACAGACAGATTGGCAGAAGCTGCTATTAAGAGTAATTTGAAAATCTGGACCACAGCTATTTTCCCTAAATGAAATCAATGTCTATATCCACTAAAGTCATTGTAGAAAACAGTAAGAGCTTCAACTCACAGCACAGTTCTCCAAAGAACATTCCCAGGCTGAATCCCAGTGGAGTTAACACTGGACTGTGAATGTAGCACAAGGCACGTTGATGTATTTTGGTCACTTTATTAAATGAGATATTAAATAGTTTAAGTTTCACTACTAAAACAGCACTTTGAATGGTGAAAACACATAGTATATTGTCATACTTGAATGCTTCTTCTTTTTTAAAAACACATTTCCAGTCCTTATATATATTACAAAACAGCCTTATAGGAAGAGGGGACACCTTTTCTATAGTACTTAAGATATTTAATACAGAACTGAAAAGCCATCTAATAGAAACAAAGGCAAGTCTTCACAGCTGTATGATTTCAGCAGCCAAAGCTGGTTGATGGACTGAAACATTACTATACAACTGGGACAAAACATATACAATATCACGATACTAAGCAAAAACGCTTTACATCCAAAGGAATAAACAGGTTACAAAAATGTGGATAATTTAGCAGGCAAAACTGTATTACAAGCAACATTTTTATTTGTCATCTTAAGCCATTTTTATCTAGTTAAAACATCTAAAACAAATATAAAAATGAGCCTTTTATTATCTTACTGATGTATGTTCTGTCTTTAAGTACTGGTTAAAGCCTGATGTTATACTCAAAGCACGTTGTTATGCAGCTAAAATGTCGAGTGAGAAACGTAAGCAAAGTGGTCCAGGTTTTACTTCAATGCTTAGCTTGTATTCCTTCTTGTGCATTAGTCTTCTGTTATCCATAGGTTTGTCCAGGATGAAATAAAATGTGCCTTTCAATGTTGCCTAAAACTTCCACATTTAAGTCTTTGAGTTACTGTAAAACTCCACTTAACATTCCCAGGTTTGGTAGAAAGTACTTCTCTTATTCACAACACGTAGGAATATCGGTGACAGTTACCCAGAGTACATTTGCCTTCAAATGTTTGTCTCAACATCTCACTTTTGTCTCTTCTAGTGCCAGCATGTCTCTCTTTGCTCCCTCCCCCAGATCAGAGTTAGCTGTAGAGCTGGCAGAGCACTAGAACACACTGAGGGTCCTTTGTGGTATCTCGTCATCAAAGAGTCCAAGACAGAAAGCTGTCAGCTGGGCTTGCAGCAGCCCAACCAACCTCTGTCCACGTCACAAACCAAGTGTGAGTCACACACCAAAACACCGTGGAACATCTGCAGAACTTGGCCATTCAGGGCAAGAACTCAAACTCTTGCAAGAAACTTCCCAGAAACCAAAATTGTTTTAGTTCACACCAGCATCAGAAGAGTCCAGCACAATGTGGAGCCACTGCCTCCATCTGTCTCCAGAGCCCTGTGTTGTCCACACACCACCATCTCCATGTTCCTGCCACTTACTTGTGCCCCTAGATGATCAATGGGGTTTTTTGGGGGGGTAAGAATCACCCAAAGTCTATGCAAAGGAAAGTCCTATTTGTATTTAATAAGAACCTGACAACCCAACAAGTGTGGGCAAAGAGAGTGATAATGGTATAGAATAAACCTGAAATTTATCTCTGGCCTACATTAAAAAAAAACCCAAACTAGAACAGAAACAAAAGCAAAACCAAGCTCTTTGTGTCCTAACCCATGTTTTCACACAGCTGAAGGGATGGGGAGGAGTGCATAACCCATCTCTGTCAGTCAGGTCATTTCACACTTCTGGCAGCTCCAGAGGCTGCTACAGCCCTTTCTCTGTATGGATCTCCAACGGGCAGGGGCTGTGCCACGTTCAAGGGGGTTCTGTGACAGGGGGCTCTCTAGAGGCCACCTGACCCTGGCCACCACCACCAATTCACCCCAAAGACAGGAATGGAGCTGTGTTGGCCCGTCCCCCATTGCCGGCAATGGAGGAGACAGTAGCACCAGCAGGAAGGAGTTACAGAAATGTGCTTTGTGCTGGACTCCACAGCAGGATCAGCCTGTGAAGGAAAAGCATCTCCACTCCCAGACCATCAGCTGTTATTCCATCACATGGAACTGAAAATAAGAAATGGCAGCAGACTGGGGAAGGCCCAGTCCTGTTTAAGGCTGGATGCACAGTTCCCTGTGTCTCAGAGCAGTAGTAGTTACAAATATTGCACTCAGTTCTGTTTCAGGGAGCGTTTTCAGCTCCTGTTCCATTCAGCACAGATGACCCGTGAAGGAAACTAAACTATTTCTGTTACAACGTTCCCACTAATAGAAAGAAATGGGCAAGCAGAAAAGTATTCCATAATTTGAGGAATCAACTCTAATCAAGAACTCAGCTGTTTTCAATTCACATATGTCAGACTGAACTTACAGACCTGCAATCCTTCCTAAGCTTCCCAAAGCTTTGCAGCCACGAAAAGCAAACGTAGGAGTTTAGACAGGAAACCTGTGGAGATGCTACTGTAAGGGGAGGACTTGTTTTCACTGAAAACAACTTGTTATCTCCTGTACTCAACATATGTAAGAAGATTCTAGGCAACATCACTGACAACAGGGAAAACATCGTGACCTATTTAAACAGAGCTGAAACACTAATATGGAACATGGTATTTAAGGGGAGCAACCAAACTATTCTTTTTAATTCTTTTTTTTTTTTTTTTTTACAGTTGAGTTCTGTTAGGCCATTGATTCCTAAAAAAATAAAAAGTTCTTTCTCTGATTTTAACAATCCTTTAGGCTTTTAGTGCAAAATCACATTGATTTCCCTTGGGAAGGCCCTGGATTTTTGCCTCTCATTGGGGGTGGTGCTCGTTGTAGGGGTGGGGGCTGCATCCCACCAGACACTGACTGATACATTCCTCTCACATCTATGGCTGGGTAGCTGGAAGGATTCATGATTAGATTCGGAGGCTTTGGCATCATGAGGTGGCTCATGGCTGCTTGCTGGTAGGACATCTGCTGCTGCTGCTGCTGGTTGTACTGGTGCTGGAGGCGCCGGTTCATCAGGATCCTCTGGACACAGCCGATCAACTGCGGAGGGAAAGCAGAGCTGCCTGAGTGCACCACCCGTCCCCTGCTCCCAGGATCAGGTTCAGGGCTCAAATCAATTTGTTAGGGACAGCATGGCTGGGGGAAAAAGCCCCATTGTTATCACCATCCCTAATGTGATGGCATTCGGCAGCCCATTACTGCAGAAACCATTTAGTAACAGCATTTAGGGCTCAGTTCTCCTGAAGACTTGGCTATTGTGTTGCAGGCAGCATTTAGGTGAGTTGCCATGGCAACGTGTACTCTACTGTGAAATTATTCCCAGGTATAAGTTACATCATCAGCTCTCAGGTACCATTCATCTTCCCTTTGAAAGTCCCGCCTGTGCACTGTCAGTGTTTGTTTGCTTGAGAGAAAAACTCTTCCCTCTGACATCATCTGGGCAACTTTCAGATTCTGCAAAGTAATTCTAAGCTAAAACAACATTACCAACACTCTCTAAGATGTTTCCTAAGTGGCTGGCTGAGCTCTGGGAATCAGATTTCTCTTTATGCCTCATGACCTCGCAGCAAAGCCCTTCAGCTCCAAAACCTGGCGAGTGGCTTTTTCATGAACCTCTCCCTGACTGAGGCCAAGCAATGAACTCCAGCACGCTGCTGACCACTCTGTGAGGGATATTTATGTGCCTAAACATACACTTGTAGCTCAGGAATGAACACACACAAGATCCCCATTCAAGCTCTGGCAGTAGGTAAATAAATGTAGGATGTTTTACCATCTGCTGTTTCCCGAGCACGTCGTTGTAAATGGCTTCCCGGCGCTTCACGTCCAGCTCCTGGCTCGCCTGCCTGTTCAGGGCCAGGGCCTGCACCTGGCTCTCCGTCAGGGTCAAGTTTTCTTTCCACTGCAAAGCAAAAAAACCTTCTTGGCACTGGTGGTTTGAACAAAAACCTGACAGTAACTGAGGTTCTGGGTCATGTTCGCAGTTGCACCAAGAGTTAAAGCAGCCCAGCTTCCAGTGAGTGCAGAACTGCTTCACCACAACCACAACCAGCAGTTATTAGTGCTCCTAACTGGCAATCAGCAGTCCACAAAATACAATAACTATTTGCCTGTAATTGCTGTTCTGATTTCTAGAAAAACCAGCATTTTCAGATCATGGCAAATACTTATGGATCTAAAGTGCCACTCCTGTAAGGCTCTGTGCCAGCTGCACACCAAGGGTTACTGCTGGGACAAAGGTCACTCCCAACTGGAAATGATGCTCATTAATAATGCACTTCATTAGCTGGATGACCATTTGCAGCAGCAATAGCTTTGTTTGATAAAGTTTAATGTTCTCCACTCCTGATCTAAGCCAGGGCTATGCACTGCACTCACTATGGCTGAAATGATGTCTTCAAGGGGCTGGATCCTCGCTGCAGCCACACTGTTGGTTGCTTCCACTACCTTCTCTCTTCCTTGATTAATGAGGTCCTGAGAAAACACCACAACATCAGTTATAAAGCACAGAAACAACAAACATTTATTCCCCAGCATTCTTAATCTTCCTCGTGTACATACCTAGACTTCAATTACCTCTCTGCTCTCAATTTGCACAAGTCAATGACTCTAAGCTGCCACCTATTTGAATTTTAGCACAGAGCAGTTGAACAACAAGTATAAACCTTACAATTTGTAAAAACCTATTTTTGTACCCACAGGTTTTCAGACCAGCATGAGAATGGTAAAAACTCAGGTAAATTTTCTACCATACATACTTGAAGATGTTACAGGTTCAAAAGTGATAATTAAAGTCTGCAAAGAAGGCAGGTGATGCTCCAGAATCCTGACAATCTGCCCAGGTATAGCTTTATATATATGCAAGTTAAACTTCAGTAAAGCTACATGCAAACCCACCCACCCTCAAACATCCAAAAATATAAAAATATTTTGGGCTGACATTACCCACAATTTGTGAGAGAAAACCCCTGCAGCAACACAGGCATGCTGTGCTCCTTACCTCCAGCTGCTGGTTACTCATTGCAGACAGAGCACCCAGGTTGTAAGGAATATAAGTCTGAGAGCTGAAATTTGTGGGCATTGTGGTGGTCCCTGTGGGCATGTTGAAACGCATGGTCATGCCCTGGAAAACACAGAGGGCACTGGTCACCAACTCTGATAATTCTGCAAAAACCACACTGAGAATTCTGATAAAACCACACTGATAATTCTGCACTGGTCACTGATTATTCTGCAATGACCACACTGATAATTCTGCAATAACCACACTGATAATTCTGCACTGGTCACTGGTAATTCTGCAATTACCACACTGATAATTCTGATAAAATCACACTGATAATTCTGCACTGGTCACTGATAATCCTGCAATAACTACACTGATAATTCTGCAAAAACCACACTGATAATTCTGATAAAATCACACTGATAATTCTGATAAAATCACATTGATAATTCTGCACTGGTCACTGATAATCCTGCAATAACCACACTGATAAGTCTGCAATAACCACATTGATAATTCTGCAGTAACCACACTGATAATTCTGCAAAAACCACACTGATAATTCTGCAGTAACCACACTGATAATTCTGATAAATTCACACTGATAATTCTGATAAAATCACACTGATAATTCTGATAAAATCACACTGAGAATTCTGATAAAATCACACTGAGAATTCTGATAAAATCACACTGATAATTCTGCACTGGTCACTGATAATCCTGCAATAACCACACTAATAAGTCTGCAATAACCACATTGATAATTCTGCAGTGGTGACTGATAATTCTGCAATGACCACACTGATAACTGTGCAATGATCACAGTGATAATTCTGCAGTGGTGATTGATAATTCTGCAGTAACCACACTGAGAATTCTGCAAAAACCACATTGAGAATTCTGCAATGACCACACTGAGAATTCTGCAATAACCACACTGATAATTCTGCACTGGACACTGATTATTCTCCAATAACCACATTGATAATTTTGCAATGACCACACTGATAATTCTGCACTGGTCACTGATAATTCTGCAGTAACCACACTGATAATTCTGCAATGACCACAATGATAATTCTGCAGTGACCACACTGATAATTCTGCAGTAACCCCACAGCCAGAGCAGCCCTAGGGACAGCCACAGGCCCTGAACACTGAGCATGGAGGTTCCCAAAGCTCAGCTCAGAACCCCATTTCAGTCACAGAGGAACCAGTCTTCAATAATCTCTGGGTTTAGCTTGTCAGTATTTGATACATAAATGACCACTGCATATTAGCACAGCTTAAATTGGTGAAGGTAATTTTTTATATTGAAAACCCACTACTTAATGTAGAGTTTGACCAGCCTGAAATGAAATTCTGAAAAAGTAAAATGCACAATTTGTTCAGGAATGTAAAGCTCATTGCCCATTTGCATTTCTCACAGGGCAACTTCAGATTTTACTCTTTATCTCCCTATTTCTTTTCCCTCCCCAAACCTTTTCATCAGTGGTCAGTGGCAATTTATACACCCACTTTTTCTACTTTTAGTTGAAGGCTTTTCACTGAAATTCAAAAGGTAATTTGGGGTAACACCAACAAATCTGATTGAGAATTTCAACCTTGGTGGCGTTTCAATCACCTCCCTTATGACCCTGCCAAGGGTAAAGGCACAGCTTTAGTTTTAGGAACACAAAGAGCTTTGGTGCACCCCACACACCCAATTAGTGAGGATAAATCACCACCACCTGTATCTGATACAACACAGGGCAACAAAACAGGAACAGGGTTCCACCTTACTGTAATTTCAGATTTCTGCTGTATTATCAAGCACTGGTTTATATGTTAATGTGTGCATTAGCTCAGAGGGTAACACTGTCACACAGCCCCTCAGGGACACCCTCACATGGGAAAAGAGGGATTTACACAGGATACCAGCTGAGTTTTATCATAAATTAGAAAAAAAATGCAGGTGTGAAAGGAATTTGTAATTAAAGTAGCAAAGCAAACACACAGAAAGAACCAGCACTGGAGGAGCAAAAAAGACACAGAATCTCCATTCCTCCTATGTCAATATTTAATTTACATACTTCCTTATTGTCTATAACAATATTTAATTATCCAAAAACAAACTGAAAAGGAAACCTGGAAAGGTTATTTTCATGTACATAAACCAGATTGAACAGCTTTACCTTCTTTTCTGCTTCATATTCTGCCCAGGCTGCCTTCCTCTCTTCTTCAGTGAGCTCCTCCTCCTCCTTGTGGTCCAGGAGTGAATCATGCTCGTGGTACCCCACGATGTACTCCTTGTTGATCTGCAGCAGCTCTGCCAGGATGGTGTCCTGCTCACACAGGGAGTGAAGGAGGGGTCACTCAGCAGCTCTGCCCGTGCCCCTCCTGCTCCCTGCCCGTTCCACACACAGCTCTCAGCACTGCACAACTAAACTGGAACAGCATTTACAATTTTCCTCAGAGGGAGAGCAATGGATTAACAATCTGTTGCAGAGATGAGAGTGCAGCCACTTAATGAACCACAGGAATGCACTCAGACTCCACCACAATAAATGCACCTAAAAAGAATGGAATGTTCTCAGTGGCTTTTCCTTTGCTATGGCTGGACAACGGACAGGACCCATCAATACACCTGCATTTATTACATAGAAACATCTGCATTTATCACACAGACACATCTGCATTTATTACACAGACACACCTGCATTTATTACACTGACACATCTGCATTTATTACACTGGCACATCTGCATTTATCACACAGACACACCTGCATTTATTACACAGACACATCTGCATTTATTACACAGACACATCTGCATTTATCACACAGAAACATCTGCATTTATCACACAGACACATCTGCATTTATTACANAGACACATCTGCATTTATCACACAGAAACATCTGCATTTATCACACAGACACATCTGCATTTATTACACAGACACATCTGCATTTATCACACAGACACACCTGCATTTATCACACAGACACACCTGCATTTATTACACAGACACACCTGCATTTATTACACAGACACACCTGCATTTATTACACAGACACACCTGCATTTATCACACAGACACATCTGCATTTATCACACAGACACATCTGCATTTATTACACAGACACATCTGCATTTATCACACAGAAACAGCAGCTCTACAGCTTTCCAACACTGAGCACCACTTTGGGTCCATCAGCTCCAATTTTTTAAGTCAAACCTTTTTGTCACAGGCAAGGTGATGCTGCAGAAGATGAAGATGAAGATCCCTACAGGACTGTGAAGAACAGCTCCTTTCCTGAGGTCATTCCTGAACAGGGTTTTTTACATGATTGTTGTGCCTGATGAGCTTCATGAATTAAGGAAGCTCCAACACCTCAGCATTCAGGCTAAAATTGCTGATATGAGACCATCCCTGAACCATTCCTGAGAGGAATCACAGCCCAGGAGGAACCTGAGCCCCTCCAGGTCCTGCCCTCACTGTGCCAGGCTTGCACAAGCAGGAATTAGTTCAATCTCACAATTAAAAAAAAATACTAAATCCACCTTACACATAAAAAAAATCAGAAATATTATATTATACTATATTATATTCTATTATATTATACTATATTCTACTATACTATACTATATTATACTATATTACATTACATTACATTATATTATATTATATTATACTATATTTCTACTATATTTCTATTATATTTCTTTACATTTGTTTAGCTTGTTGATAGAATAATTCTCAATTGGTTTGTAAGCTGTAGGATGAAATCCTGGTGATGAATGAAAATATGAAGAGAGACTGAAATAAGTGGTTTGAATTTTAATGAAAATATTAAGAGAGACTAAAAAAGGGGTTTGAATTTTATAAGAAGACATTTGTCTTTTTAAAATCTTGATGGAAAATAAATGCTACTGAGAGATCACTGTATTAGAAAGGAAATCCTCCATGAAGGAATGCAGGTTATGTTGTAATTCACAGGTTTTTCTCAACCAGCTGAATATTTAATACTAAAGCTAAAAATAAAAATAAAAAAAAAATTAAATAGGAAGCAAATTCTTCTAATCCTGAGATCAAAATTCACAAAGCTGTCCCTGAGTATGGAAGCACAGTAAAGCACATGTCTCTGTCCTGAGGTAGTATAAAATGCTGATATCCATATCCACTGAACCTGAACTATGATTTTAATCTGCTTTTCCAATCTGCATTACATTTCACATTAATAAAAAAAGTGATTTAAAGTCTAATTCCCTGAATGGGGAATTGGGAATGAGCCCAGGGCAGGGGGGCAAGAGCAGGGCCAGTTCTGAGGGACCCCCAGTGCCCCAACACTGCCTTTGTCCAGCTCAGGGACTGTTCTGAACTATTCTGGAAATTATATTTCTATATAATTACAGAAATATGTCCTTATTTCTATATTTCACTACAGCAAAGGTGACCAAGTGATCATTCAGCCTTGAGAAACCTTTATTGGACTGAAATTCCACAGCAGCCCTTTCCAGCTGGGCAGGGAGAGGGGATGAATGAAATCAAACCATGGAAATTCAGAGTAAATAATTGATGTGAATCACATTGGTATTATGAATATTCTGCTACCCCCCAGTATCCAGAAGCTGTTTCTGAGGGCTGAGCACCACAGGCATTTCTTCCCTGACAATCTCCACACCCCAAGGTCCTGTTAGAGCACAGAGGGCAGAAAACTGCTGCTCCAATTAAAACTGGCCATGGAATCTGAATAATCTTCAGGAAAACAACAGACTGCACATTTGCACACATTTTTACAGAAAATAAAAGCATTCCACACCTTCTCCCCCCTTAACAGCACTTTCCAAGAAAACTGCTCTTGGACTCAAAGCTGGATGTTGTAAAGCCAAAATTCTCAAGGATTTAGTTTAAAACCAAGCAGGATTTGTTTCTTCACTTGCTGACTTTTAAAACGATGCAGAATGAATTCTCCCATCGCATTTACAACACAAAAATTAAACATTTGTGTTTTTCTTCCATCCAGGAAGTGAAAAAGGAGTCAGAAGCACCCCAACACTCAGCTCTGAATGATTCCCCCTCAGCCCACAGGAATCCTGGCTCAGGGATTCCTCACACCCTTTCTGAGAACAAAACCAATTTCCCCACAGGGTTTTCCACATTTATGCTCAAATGGTTGGAGAAAAGATGGAACACATTTCCCCTGATTCCTGCCCACAATTCCCTCCAGAAAGGGGCAGTTCTAAAAGTTTCATTTTCAAACCTCCTTGTCCCCATGTTCTGAGGACTCTGCTCTCCCCTTGCACTCTCAAACAATGTAAAAGCACAAAAATTGGTATTTTTACCCAGCCCTCATCTTACAGCATCTTAAAGAGAATTCTTATCTCTAAATGCTGTGTAATTACTTGATGTTACAATAAAATGTGTTCCTATCAACCCAATTTTTAATCAACCTAAGAAAAATGCTGTGTGTTGTTAAATTAATTGTTAAGGAGATTAATAACCCAGCTGAATGATGCAGTTGTGCTAAAATCACACTGAAATAAGGAATAGTAACTGAGTTCATGGCTGAGGAACCTTGCACAGATGAATTTACTTGATTATTTACAGCCTTTTCAGCCATCAAACAACAAGGAATTAGAAATTTGCACATTGCATGTACTGAGATGCACACATTCAAAAGGACAAAATACCATCTGCTAAAACCATGAGATAACACAAAAATAAGTCCAGTCCCCAGATTTGCTCTATTTACAGGCAGGAAATGGTCAAAAGCTCATATTCAACTTGACTTGCACAAACCTTACACTGATGATGGCATTAATATAAACTTAATACATAAATCTGAGTGATGGAGCAAGTTTTGAGTTGATAAACACAATCACTACTTGATTTCTTTTGTAATAAAAAACTAGAAACCTTCAAAATATAATTGCTGCATTGGATTGATCAATGTTTCAAGTTAACAGGTTCAGGTGACTCCTAAGTTTTTGGGTTATTTTTACATTTTTTAAAATAAGAAGCAGCATCAGTGAATGATGCTGCATTGGCTCTGTGGAGGTACAAATGCACAAAGCATTAGTTAAGAATGCAAAAAAAGATAAATACTATTAATTATATAATATAATGCCCAGACACTGCACAGTGACCAAACCACAGAATTTTAACCAGTTCATGAACCAGAGGCCACTCCCTGATGTGCTCCAAATGCCAAGAAGCAGAGAATTCCACAACAGCCAAAGGATGAATGAGTCTTTAGTAGCCCAGAGACTATAAATGAAATATATACCCACAGCCTAATCTTAAATATAGAGTGACTTGGAGAAAAAGAATAAAATAATGGAGAATAAAATAAAGAATAAAGTTTATTCTTACCTAAGTGCAACTCTTATCTCTACTAAAGTTAAACAGGGAACTAAAACCCAAAATGTGCTGGCAAAGGGAATTATGGATAAAGATAATTCTTACCTCCAGTGCCACCTCTCACAAACTGAGCTTCTGCTGGGGCTCACCAGCACCCACTCAGATGCTAACTTGAATTTTCCCCAATTTCATGCAGTAAAACTTCTATTCATTCAAAATGGGGGAAAATGTGTCTTTGTCATTCAAAATGGGGGAAAATGTGTCTTTGTCATTCAAAATGGGGGAAAATGTGTCTTTGTTCTGACTTAAAATTTGGGTCTTTTAATGAGCATCTTCCTCTCCCACTGTCAATGACACTGAGGGGAAACTCCTCACCCAGCAAAGTTGGGTCTTTAATGATTATTTTTCTTTCAGAGTGTCCATTACATTGAGAGGAAACTCCTCACCCAGCTCATTAAGGGGTTTTTTAATTAATTATGGGTTTTTATTGTGTTTCCTGCACTCCACCTCCACTCCAAGCAGCCACCACAAACCTGCAGCACATTTCAACACACCCAGCAGTTGTTTTGTTTTCACAGCACAGAACTCCTGCTGGTGGCCACCACTCACCTTTGGCAGCATGGGGGTGTCCCTCTTCTTCTTCTTCTCTGAGTTGGGGTCATCCAGCAGGTCTGGCTCAAAGGTGTAGAGCTCGGTGAGCTCGTTCATGGTGAAGTGTCTCTCCACCTGCTGCTGGTCCACCACCCTGAAGGACAGCGACTGCTTGGTCACCTGCCGGTCGTAGATCTTGTCCTCCATGGTTCCCTGGACACAAACACCCACTGTCACCCCCAGCAACGCTCACAGGTGTGAAAAAACCCCAAATAATCACCCAGCAGCTCTCCCTGCCTTGTTTCTGTGCTTCTGCTGCTTTCAAGCTGTTTGTTTGCTGGGCAATAAATGGAAAAAAAAAGCTTTTTTGTGCATGGGATAGGTGTCATCTAGCTGGTGACTAGAGGAAGAAAATTGGTCTTTTAGTGGTGTTTTTAAGAGATCCAGTTTTGTTTCATTACTCCAAAGTAGGATTTTGACCCAAAAATGGCAATTTTCACAGCATGTACCTTATTTTGCCTGTGAAAAGGAAAACAGATCCCATATCACTGTGGTGGAGGGGAGAGGGCAAGGGAGGCAGTCAAGTCTAATTCACCACAGCTGTGTACAAAAAAAAAAATCAGATCTTTGATGAAAAAAGGAAAATCACTTATTTTTTGAAAAAAAAAAAGATGACTGAGAAGGACGAGAACAGCACAGCCTGTTCTGAACAGCATAATTTAAAAAGGATATCAACAGTTCAAAAGTGCACAGAGAAAACTACAAAAATAAACTGAAGCCTGAAGAAAAACCCCATTTGTGACAGTAACATGTCCCAGACAAGGATCTGCTTCAGCTGGGATGGAAAGAGTGACTGGATCAAGGGCTGAGTGCTCCTGGGAAAGGGCTCCAGGCTCCTCTGTCACACCTGGGGACGCAGAGGCTGAAGAGGCCCTTCCCAACAGGAACCATGGCCCTGCCTAAAGCACAGATCAGTGTCCAGCTGAGTCATTTTATATATTTATAATTATATATTTTATGTATTTATATATTTTATAAATTTATATATTTTTATGTATTTTTTATATCACACATCTTTAACATCTGCAGGATGTGATATGAGTTTTCAAGTAAGACTGGAGATGCATTTTTATAAAAATTCACTTGTATCCATGTGGTTTCAGTGCAGTTGGACCATCAGGGTGTGCAGAAGGAGCTGCCCTGGGCAGGGCTATTCCCTAACACCACCCCCATCCTCTGCAGGCACTGCTCCAGTCAGAGTTTTTAGTGGAGTGCAAATTAAAAAGGCTGAGACTCCTGTTCTGAGGCTGGTCTGGACACGTGAATCACTGCTGGAATTCCAGAATTTGGGTTAATGAAGTGTCAGACAAGGGAGACCTCAAGAGTATTGAATGTAGGGAGCTCCTGATGCAGGGAATTATTGCCATTTGACTCTGTGCTTTAGGATGCTGAACAATTGCTTTATTAAAATTGTATTACATTATACTATATTAAAGAGATACTGAAGGAATGCTACTGAAAATCCCATGAGTGTCTCTGCCTGACACCACAGCTTGGACCTGATAGGCCAATTAACATAAACAACCATCACTAGAACTGAATTAAGAACTTTCTCCAGGTAAATAATTTCCCTAACACATTCCACATGTGCAAAACAACAAGGGCAGAGAATAGAGATAAGAATTGTTTTCTCTTTCTCTGAGGTTCCTCACTGTGATTCTCAGGAAATATCCTTAGGAAGCTGCACCTGCTGCTCTCTTTGGGGAGAGCTGTGGCTGCATCACAGGGAATAATGTCATTTATTTTACCACTCCTTCCTTCCTGAGCTGCTTCAGTGGCCAAACCCTGCTGCAGATCAGAGCTGGAATGTGCCTGGATCAGCCTGGGTCACTACAGAGCCCAACAGAGCCCAAACCATCACAGTGCCCACAGCCCCAGCTCCCCAATTTCACTGCAGGGTCAAAGTGCAGCAGAAAAGTACCTGAGCCAAAAACCTGTAGACAAAGACAGGCTTGTTCTGCCCGAAGCGATACACCCTGAAGATGCTCTGGATGTCATAGGAGGGGTTCCAGGAGGCATCAAAGATGATGACTCTGTTGGCAGCCACCAGGTTTATTCCCAGGGACCCTGCTTTGGTGGATATGATAAACAAGCGGCCTCTGGAACAGAGAAAAGTTGCAAATTTTCATATTTTGGAAAATAACTGGAGTTCATAAACTGAAATAACTCTAAAGCTTCATTAAAATAATGCATTAAGCATGAAACAGATGCAGATTTTACAAGAGCAACACTTTTAGCAGAACATACACTCCCAACAATACACATCAAGGCCTTCTGCAAATGAGCTATTAAGAAAAACTGGTGGGGAAGAAAAAACTGCATTTTCAAGCTCTAATGAAATTAGTTATATCAAATTAAACCCTAATTTTAAACAGGCAGATTCCATGCCATAGAAACTCTTTCCTGGCCTGCAGACTTTCAGGGTAGCTCTCCAATGACACTGTCTCTTTGACATATCTGGGTTTTTTGAGATTCAGAAAAATCTCACTCTGGTTCACCTTGGAACCAGCTCCTGACAGACACCTGACAGAATAAACTATTTAAAAGTATTAACACTGGATTAGTTCACTTCTTAATTTAACTTTTTCCCCCTGCACATTATAAATGACTGCACAATAATTACATACTTTATTTTTTAAACACATCTAGGAAGGTGCAGCTCCTTAACTTCATTCAAATACAAGCCTGTACCTCTCCATCTAAATCAGACTTGAAAGTCCCATTTTGGAGGGCTGGGAGCCAATTCTGGAGGCAGCTGAAAGAATTCATTTGCTCCTGAGTGGCCCAGGGACTGCACAGCCTTCCTAGGTCCTTGTATCCTTTAATGCTTGCAATAAAAACACTGTCTCTGGTTTAAATTGGTTACAATCTAAAAATTGTACAATTGGACAATGAAAACAGCAAGGAAAACCTGAAGTCAGTGACACATTCCTGCAGGTTTTCTGGGTGAGCTCTGATCACCATTTGCCTGGTCCTGAGGTCATTAAGCTGCTAAAAGTAATAATAACTAGGGAACAAAAGAAAGAAAAAGGGGAAAACAAAGCACATCTATCTCAGGAGAGATCTCACCTCACATTAGTTTCATCATTGAACTCCTCAGCCCATTTCTTTCTGGACTGAGCTGTGGTGGAGCCATCCAAACGATAATAATCAATATTTCTGAACCATTTTCCTTCACCTGCAAATGCAACAGCCAAGTTATGAAAATGCTGATGGTGTAAATAACCAGACTGGTAACCAACTGGAATTTAAAGAGAGAAATTTATAATAAAAAATAGTTCTGAGGTTAAATTTAATTATTTGAAAAAATCTGATTTTTTTTTTTTGGTGGGGGGAAGTCCTCTTATTTTTCACACTTTCTGTATTTATTTGAATTTGCAGAGCTATGCCTTAACTTGGAGCCAAAGTTAATTTTAGAAGTCCCAAAGATGCTGTTACATCTCATCTTTAGGTGCTGTAATTGCACTTTTCCAATGGATCCAGGCAGGTTCACATTCCAGCACCAGTGTCAGCCTCCTACACAACCAGCACTGAGAAGTCAATGCTCCAAAGGAGATTTCTAAGGTCAAACTCATTTTGGAACTGAAATCCAGCAAAATCTTTGGGTTTAATTGCCCTGTGAGTTACAGCAGCTTCTTGTCAGACTGGGGGAAAAAAATAACTGCAGGTGATGGAGGATTTTCTTCTCTCAGTAATTTTCTATTTTCTCTGGCCATCAAGGTATTTGTACAAAATTGATATCCCTGAGCCACCAATGATAAATAAAATAATGGTTTTGGGAGCAGCACTGCTCAATTAAACCCATTGAGAGAGGCAGATTGGTCAGTTCTGTCAGGAAAACTGAACTTTGCCATGATTTAATTTTGCTGGCCAGAGCTACCACACATGGAAAGCCCCAACCTCTTTAAAACTTCAGAATAAAGGCACAGCTCCTGACAAAGACACCCTGTAATGTGTGAGGTGACAAAATTCAGAATAGGAAGCAACAGGCAGGAACAATAAATCAGTGAGAGACACATCCTGGGGACCTGCAGCCACCATCACTGAGCCACTTCTCCCTTATCTCAAGTGCAAATTCAGGCAAGAGCTGGTGACAGACTGGGAAGGAAAGGCAGACTTGAAGGAATTCTTCAATCCACATGTCCTGGGAATGAAACTCTGGGCAAGGAGGAACAGCACCCTCAAGAGCCCTGGGAACATCTCAGTGAGGCATTTCATGCCATTTGAGCATCACTAGGGTAATAATTAATTCAATATTTGCTCCCTATGAAACCCATAAGCCTAAATTCACATTTTCCACACTGCTTGAAAGCAGCCTCATTTCCCTTCACTCTCTCTCTGCCAGGAGGAAGGATCAGGATTTGCCACACACCAGAATTTAACATTATTTTTGGTGCAGAATTTAACAAAATGCCTTCTCTCAGATGTGAACATTAAATCTGCTTAGCCTGGATGACAGAGAGTGAAATCAGAGAGTTCCCAATGGGAGCCCAACACCCCTGGCAGCCCAGAGCATGCAACATCCTCATGGAAACAGGGATTATTTCAAACACCCCATGGGCACTGCACAGAGCCTTGGGAAAGGGCTCTGAGCACTGCAGCTGCTGGAGGCACTCACCTTTATAGATGGGAGGCTGATCTCTGTCAGATTTCTCCCTGTTAGCCAGCTCCAGGAAATCTTCTATCAAATCCAGAGATATCAGGGACTGGCTGAACACTAGGCTGAAAAAAGCAACAGGGAAACACAGAATTCATCTCTGGAGTTGTTTTAATTATGGCACTGCTTCAGTTTTGTTCCCTCCTCCCTCTGATAGGAACTTTGAGACAAACAGAGCAAGATTTCAGTGGGGCACGTGCAGGTGAGGGAAGATCTCTGACAAAAATGAGTGTACCATGCTTGGCTGCTTCAGAAACAGCAGAATGAAGAGTGGATGGATGGAGAACACTGTCAGACTAATATAATATATATATATTATTATATATATAATATACTACATATATATTATATTATTGTATATTACTATATAAAATAGTATTATATTATTATATATTACTATATAAAATATATTTTTATATATTTTATATATATTATATATAATATATAATATTATGTATTACTATATATATCACATATTCATTGATATTATTTATATACATTTTAATATATATTTACATAATTTTATATATTTTTAAATATATGTATGTATATATGATACATACATACATATATTTAAATATATATATATATATATATATAATATATTCTGAGGTCTTCAGTGCCATGTGCAGAGCTTACACTTTGTCTCCCAGCTCCTCTGCCATCCGGAGAATTTCAAAGAGCAGCACCATTTTCCCAGAATGCTCCAACACCTCAGCATCTGCATCAGTGACAAAATCTTTGTACCAGTCTGGAGCTGGGCTACCAGGATTGGAAGAGGATGTAGCTTTGCCTATTAAAAAAAAAAAAAAAAAAACAAAGAAAAAGAAATAAACATGAGAACATGGTGTTCATTTAAATGCTCTGAGTTGTTCCCTCATTATCAGACTTAACTGGCATGAAAAGAGTTAAAGAGACAAAGAAAAAACAGCATTTGCACTAGAAGCCATTACAAGAGGTAAATATTTAAGGGATGCAGAGACAGAAGCTCAGGCTGCCTATAGTGTAATTCCTTTAACACATTTAATCTCTGGGTGTCAATGTTTTACACACAACACCCTCCACCCTTACACATTTACAAGATGTTGTCACTGGGATGGAGGCAAAAAAAAATTCTCACCTGAACTCTCCCAAAATTTTAAATTACTTAGGGAAAGAGATTAGACCCACATGAAATAACATAAAATTATCTCTGTGATACCAGATACAAGACAAAAGCTAAATTATTACAGTAAAACCCCCCAAAATTAAGTGTGCAGCTGTAAAAAGTTTGAATAACAACTTTAAAGAGGTCTTGTGTTCCTGCTTCACTGGATCTGCTTGCTCAGCATTCAATTCAAATTCCAAATGCAACAAATTATGACAGATATATTTCCTAATCTTTACATTAATCTTCCAGGTTATATAATTTTGTACTTCTAAATTTAAAATTTTCACTGTGCAGCTTCCCTGCCTCAACCCCCCTGAGTTCTAAGCTGATGGCCCTTTGTTTTTCCAGGATAAATGCATAATTAGAAGTAGCAGGAACTGTAACTGGGAATTAAGGAATCAGCCCTCTCAAATTGCCTTTTGCAAAACGGAGCTGCCTCACATTTTCAGCACTCTGTGTTATCCTCACCTTCATCTGACTTTGTTGATGCTGGGTTGTTTGTAAGATCTTCTACATTTCCTTCCCCACCTCCACGAGATCTTGAATTCCAGACTTTAATGACTTCAACATCGTTATCACTGCCACTTCCACTCGAGCTACACTCCTTTGTCACCTTTTTCCCCTTGGATTTTTTTTTCCTAAAAAGCAACAGTAAACACCTCAGGTTTTTTTTTTAATCCCACTAAAAGAAAACACATTCTAACAGACACATAAAATACAAAATGAACATTCATTTTATAGAAATCACTTCAGTTCTATAAGGGAAAGAACACCAATAAACTAAATAAAAGTTCAATTACTTTGTATAATCATCAGAACTTAAGCTCATGGAAGTTTCATCTGAATCTGAGGCTATGAAGTCATCCATGCTGTCTTCATCAAAATAGCCCTCAAAAGAGAAAAAACAGAAATTATTAAAATGTTCACCCAGAAGCTTTTATTAAACCTTTAGCCATCTGCTCACTCTTCATTTAAACAATGGTAAATTCTACAAAGGCCTGGCCTTGCAAATGTTTTAAGAATGACACCATACCCAGCAAGAAAAATATGACAAAACCAGCAGCAAAATGACCCCACAGCAACAAAGATTTCCATTAATTTGACGAAACTTTACCTAGAGTTTGGCACAGCTTGTTTGGAAAGTTCTCAAGTGAGAGTATTTTGATATATCTAATTTACCTTATTTTCTTTGCTAATATAGTCCAGCTGCAAACACCAAGGGTGAGTCCAGATTCTGCTCAACATCTGGAAATCCTGGAATAGTTTAGCTCCAGCTTTGCCTCTTCCACCTTCATTGCCACCACCTACACCTGACAATAAAGTTCAGGTTTTAGAG